CTTAGGATAAAAACATGGAAGCAGCAAAAGACGAAACATAGTTCCGTCAGGCGATCGACCCTACCCGTTTCACCTGGTCGCCTTACCAGGATCATCAGGGGTCTTTGATCGGTGTTTAGACTAATGATTGCTTATATAGTTGTGTCCATCTATAAACCTATCCTAAAAACAGTCTAAAAAACACCGAATCGCGAAAAATTCCTGCTGCCGCGCTCAAAACCAACACCAAAACGCTATTGTCAAAAAACAACACTAGAGAAATGCAATGAACCAACTACCGAAAATATGCCAAATACATGGTCAGTCGAACCCGCTAGTACCGTGTCTAGAACACAGACTCCCTAAAAAATGACGAGAGTCACATTGGTCCAAAAAAGATTCGTATTCAACAGTCTTACATTCATTGAAGGGAACTCGGTTAGTAAACCGGTAGCCGCTTCTCGATACTTCCTTTTTTACTTCACCTTAGTACTTAAAAAAATAAAAGGATAAAAAATAAAAAATAAAAAATAAAAACTGGTCGGGAACGCAGTCCAACCCGCATCACCTCTCCTTGGTTACCGCGCTGCCTACCCCCTAGTGCAGTTGGTCAAGCTTATTCCTGGATGTCTTCCACTGAGCTGCAATTTCGTATTGGAAGAGCAGTCGTAGCTGTTCCATGACTTCTCCTTCCTCCACCCGTGCCCCTTCCACTTCCAAAATGCATCTCTTCCACCAAATAGTCCAAAGAACGGTCCGCCTGCCCAACTGGAACATGTTCTCTTCAAATGTGGTCCCCCAGACCGGGGGGTAGTGGCCTAGTAATATGGCCCTCCATTCCCATGGCCATTCTATATTAGGGACAATGTGACGCTAGATCCTGTCCCAACTCCTCCGTAATAGCACCGACATTCGGTAAACTGATTTAGTTTGCAATTTATGTAACATTAGTGGTTTTGCTTTCCCCTGCCTAGTTCGACCTTCCTGGGACCAGCGCCACTCATCAGGGTCAAAGGGAAGATCCTTTATCGGGGCTGTTGGTCGGTACGCTCTCCAGCATCTACCCTCATCTAGAACTTTGATACGAAATAGGTTCATGTTGTCTTTCCAGATGAAGGGTTGCTGGTTTCCTTGTAGTTCCCCATCCCTTTGGACGGAGAAGACCTCGATCAGGGCTCGTTCTTGGTTAGTCATGTGCACCCGCCCTACTTCCTTATCATGGCCAGGTAGCCCTACCCAGTCCCCTTCCTTCAGGTGAGGGCCTTTTCAAAGGGTACTGTACCATTGGAGAGGAAAACTCTCAATAAGTTCATTTAGTGCTGATTCGGTGAAATGGCAGTATCGCAACCAAGACCGCATCCTTTCTACACTCTTCCAGCCCCTCGCCTCGTTGTCCCAGAGGTCTCCTACTCTATTGACCCCGTGTTTCACCCAGCCCTTCCAGGGGGAAGCGTATCCCCTATCCCTACTATCCTACCTTAGTGTAACCAGCACTCAGGACCGTCACCCTACCAGTATCGATGGGGACTTGGACCGAACAGTAGCGACAGGCACCAGAGCTAGGGACCTAGCCCTGGTTGAAGCATAGTCGAGCTAAGGACCTAGCCCTGGTTGAAGCATAGTCGAACGAGCCTTGCCGTACGGGTACTTCGGACGCCAGGCTCAAACAATCACCTATTAGCCCCTGCGTGACCTCCACCCAACCCTATTTTTTTTCCTGATGCGTGTGTGTTTGTGTATCATAGATGTGTGCCCGTGGGCTATATATGTATGGTTGTATGTTGCTCCCCACCATGGAGCCTCTACGAAGTGAGTACTGTGTACTGGTGAGAGGTGCTCTCATCACCTCCACTAGTACCTGAATGTGAGTGTGTACCTTGTTATTCGCCAGGGAGAATTGATCAGTGGTACTGGAGGAGACCTTGTCTATCATCAACTACCCTCGACCAACCGCTGCCAACTCACTCCTCACTCGAATGGGTCTACAGCCAACGAAAGTAGGATACACCCCTTAATTCGGCATTGGTTTCCCTACAAGGCACCCCTTCCCAACCATTGGACTGCCACGGTATCACCATGCACCCCCAACCCCCATGCCACCCCCGGACCCAAGAGAGTAGCATTCATCCTTAACAGCTCCCCCGTAAGAGAGCTACGCGTCCCCACCCAAGGCCATCAAGAGAATCATCGCTAGCAAATATGGAGTAGTTGTATGTATGGTATGTGTATATGTATATGGTATGTGATAGACTAGTATTGTGATTGTGCTATCTGGGGTGTGTGTGTATATGTGGTAGAGGCAGGTCTCCCCCAAAGTCCGAACCGGACTCAAACCTATGACCTGCAGTGTGAAACTGGAGGGTTCTACCACTTGTACTATCGTAGGAAGTGAATCTAGTGTGTGTGATATTTGGACTGGGGAGATCATCAGAGCGACCAAAGCCAACAACACCCAGTGACCAACGTGAAGTCTAGGCCAGCATACAATACCCATGGACTTATCCCCTGGGTGGTGCGCAGGCAGTGTCTGTAATAATACCATGCCTCAGCCCAGGGGAGTGTGTGTCCAGCCGTGCGTCATTCTAACGCCCTGCCAGTGTCCATGCGCGGGGCTGTGGAGTTTTGAACCCACAACCTCATACCACAATGCGCATTTCCAACCGGTGCTCTAACCATTGAGCTACATCAACTGGACGAGGGGTGGTAGTTCTTTCGAAAATAGAGAGACACCAACCGGCTACCCTGCCCCTAAAAAGATGGTGGCCATTTTTTTATTTTTTGTTCTTTTTGCATGTCTGCCATTCGTCCGTGGTTTGTGAAAGTCCCTGCCTCTTCCTTTTTTTTTTTTTTTTTTTTTAAGCCCGGGTTGTTGTAGAGGTCAGACTCTGGACATATGACAGTCACCTTTGGTAATCGGCCATGTGGCAATCACGATGATCCATATAGAGGTTCCTATTCCTATGAGATTCCCTCCCGACCTACCACACTCGTAATTCTTCCTGGCGCACCCCCACTTCCACAATCCTACCTCAATGTCTACCACTCACGAATGTCACCCTCCAGGGATAGGGGGTGACTTGACCGGACAGCGGTTGCAGGTACCAGGGGTAAGCAGAGTCCCATTTTTTTTACCCTACTGAGCCCTGATCGAAGCATAGTCGGACAAGCCTTGTCGCACAGGTACTTCGGCCCGTTAACGCTACGCGATTTTAGGAAACGTACGGGGCACTACAGGAGCGCCCAAATTCATCCCACTAGAAACGTTTCTACTCTATTTTTTTCCACGGCCGATAGTTGGGCCAAGTACTGGTGGTTTAAGTGGGACTGCGTGGAAGGCTCAATCTATTGGTGGCGAGCATCACCTGCTGGAAGCGGGTCCAGAGTCCCAATAAGGGACCCTATAGCACCCTTGCTCTTCGTCATCATTATGGAGGCCTTGGCGGCTGCTATAAGGGCCAACCCCCTCATACAAAAGATTGACGTCCCCGAAATACCGCAGCATCTGATTCCGGTCACGTCGCTCTTCGCTGACGATCTGACGGTGCTCATGAGAGCTGACCGCTCCTCCCTTCAGGCCCTCGTGGACACCATACAAACCTTCTCGACGGCGTCGGACATAGCGGTCAACTGGGGATCCAAGACCGAGGGCTGGTGGCTCCACCCCTTGGACTGCCCTCCCCCGCCTGAACCGACCGTTACTTGGAAACATCGGGGAGAAGCGATTCGGGTGCTGGGGGTTGCACTTACAGCAATGGGCCCTCCGCCGGATCACGGGGCTTCGTTGGTGGAGGAGGCAATGAGGAGACTCGCCAGGTGGAAGGGCCTGCACACTTCCATAGTCGGGAGAGCATTGGCTCTAAATACAACCATTTTTTCTACCATGTGGTACAAGGCTGCTTGCTGGCCAATTCAACCAAAACCCCTTCAAAGATTGAAACGCGCGGCGGCGGCCTATGTCTGGAAAAAAGACCATGAAGACCCTTCTTTCCTCCCCAGGGTCGCGTGGGATTACATAGCCCAACCCCGCTCCAAGGGTGGCCTCGCTATTTTGGAGCCCCAAGACCAACTGAAGGCCTTGTCCTTCAAGATCTTGATTCGCCTGCTCATGGGCAATGACATACTGTGGGCCCCATATGCTGAACTTCAGCTGTCAAATTTGCCCCCCCCCTCTCCCGTGGATGCTCCCGTCCATGCGCTGCAATGGCTTACCAACCCCTCTTGGACAGTCCCCGGAGTATCCACTGCGCCCAACCCACAGACACCGCGAGCCCAGGCCAGGAACGACATTGCAAATGAGCCCCTGTGGCCTGGCATGGTCAAGTTGTGGCGGGAAATGGGCCCGGACAGGGTTCCCCCGCCCATTCGCTGGCACGACATTATCAAACAACCGCTCTTCGGAAACCCCAACATTTGCGATCATGAGGGGAAGCCCTTCCGCCTCGACAACAGGTCACACTGGTGTGGTTGGGTGGCCAAGGGGGTGTTTCTGCTGGCCGATATATGGGATTCCAAACATAACACATGGAAATCTGATGATCAAATGACTGGCAAACTCAAATACATCAGAGACAGGAGCGAAAAACTGCGTCAGCTGCAGGAGGCCGTCCCCCTGGCTTGGATACAACAGCTTAAGCTAGGTCCCACCATCCAACAAGG